CCCCTTTGTCTTTTGTGTTGATAAGGCAAGCCAGGAACTTCTTATCCACTTGCTGGACAATCTGCAGAAAAGGTACGTAATCAGAAACACAAATTCCTGTTCAGTCTTCCTGGTCACTACATGATCGGGCTTACTTGTTAGGCTGTTAATGTATGATACATTAACCCCTGAGAGTTGGATCTCATTTGCTATTTATTTTTGTCTTATATATTACCAGCAACATTGAACAGAGCCGCACTGTGTCCAGATAGTAATACATCAACTCATTCTAGGTGAGTCAATATAAGGAAGATATACTTGCCTTCATTGAGTGGATCATTTCCTTTGTGAAGCGGTAGGGGTAGAGAATGCTGTGGATCTTCACAGCCAGCCCTTCAGCCTGCCCACAGCTCACATCCAGGCCAACCTTCCAGACAATTATCAGAGAGCCATTACATTAAGAAAACTGTACCACTGGGCACTGAGATCCTCTCAAACTACCAGATTAGTGTCTTTAACCTTTGTCACACCATTGGTAGCAGCCATACTGTAGGTAAACCAAATATCAGACTATGTCTATCTATAAAGCTCAGAAGACCAGTAGAGATGTAAAATCAATAAAATACATGCCCAATTGAATGATTTTAGAAATCACATATATTTTATTCCAGAAGCTAATAATTAATTACTTATTGTCTAATTTACCTCTGGTTTCCGAACAAAGACCGGGTTCTCCCACTCGGAAAACAGAGACCAGACTGACTCGGCAGCGCTGGGATCATCTGGAATCAAAAATGATTAACGTGAAGGAGCACAGGTACCAAGGACCACCTTGAGCTGCAGGAAGCAAGTGCAGTAACGTCAGGTCATTTTCAGCCTGGGCTAGTGTACTGTATGTGACTCCTCACCTGTGCCGTCTCGCCCTGAGCTAACTCTCTCTCCCTTGGGCCGAGGCAGGAAAGGCAGAACGGCCTCTGTCTGAAAGGGGTAACACCTGTACTCAAACCCTACAGGGAAAACACACTCAATACAGACTGCCAGGTACACACATCATCATCCTAATACTTTATACCCTTTACTAATGTGCCACCTTTTCAAATGCATTTTATTCATATTTAACCTGTTTATACTTCCTAAACGAACTTGAACAGTTATTTTACTTTCTATTCACAATGTTACAGGCCATAAAAAGGCAAAACACAGCCCGACACGTTCTATTTGAAACAAGTTTGTGTTTTTAAATGAGGAAAACCCTACCTCTTGGTTACTCTGCAACTGTGGCCACTTACCTTTGCTGGAGACCACGTTCACTGCCATGGTTGTGATGTCTGTGGTACAGAGTGCCTGGGGTGCTTCAGCTGGAGGAGCCTCATACTTGCTGAGTCCTGTCACTGGGTTTATGTAGACCATCTTCCCCACGCACTCATCGAAATGCTCCACCCAGTCAGAAGAACCTGCTGCCAAACCTGGACTTTCATTCTCCTGCATCCGTCCTGGAGATGTGTCTGCCGCAAAGCGATAGGCGTCTCTCGAGACTTCTTTCCCTGGGCTGTCCACAGCCTCACAGGAAGGCTGGTTTTCGCTGTGGCCTGTAACGGCTTTGTCTGGGCGGCCACCTTCACAAAGGGTATCTCCATTGATAGTGACAGAAGAACACGATTCTTTGGAAGTTACTAGAGTGACTTTCTTTAATGGGTTTAATTCAACAGTTGTATCACCTGGACAACTCAGAGTCTCTTTACATTTTCTGACCTCAGTTGTCTCCGTATTTGGGTTGATGTCATCAGGGGAAGGAATGTTAAAGTGGGAAGGCTGCTTGACTTCACTGCCGCTCTTCTGTGACTCTGTATCTAGTCCGAAGTCACTGATACGACTGGTGTCTGCGCCTTCCATCAGTTGCTCCTGTAACACCTTGCCCTTGTCCTCCTTCTGCTGGTTTCTTAACCGTGAGAGCTTGGTAGCAAGTGTTCGTTTGCTGTGTGCTAAAACTGGTTTCATTTTAGTAAACTCCAAAAGACTAATAGGACTATCATTAAGCTGCATAAGTGAAATTCTATGAGTGCCATTTGCTCCACAGCCATCAGTACTGCAAGGAAATAGTTTTTCAACATTGGCAGTCCCACAGATCTTCATACGAGATGTGATGGCATCTGGTGAATTTTGATTGTTGTTTGCATCTTGAGCCCGGAAATCTTTTTCTATGGGGTGCTGCTTTCCATAGATCCTTCTGAACCTGTCTAAAGATCCAGTGTCTGCTGGTAAGGACAGCTTTGGCCGTGCTGTCATGTTGGAGATTTCTGAAGCACTGCCAATGCTGAACTCAGGCCCCTCACAGCTGCTTTCACTAGTGTCTGTAGACTCCGGCAAAGATATCTTTCTCTTTGGTGCTTCTGAAGAGTTTACCTTAACTGTAAAAGTAGCAATCGTATGTTCGTGGTAAATGTCAGGTTGTTGCAAAGACTTGCAAGGCTCATTTGCTGTGGTTTGAGATGCCTCCCTTCCTAAAAATGAATATTTGTGTTGTGTACTGTTGCACTGCTTCTCTCTGAGGATGTCCTGGTCACTGCTTGGGCCTTGTCGACAGAATCTTCTCAGCCCCTCTTGGACTTCACTCTCATTTTCATTTGCACGCAGTTTAGGTATCACGTGCCTTATGAACCCTGTTGAACCCAGCTGAAACTGCACTGATCTAGAATCATTTGCTCTTTCTGTTTTATGTCCCAGGCTACTTCTGTCAAATGGTGTTTCTTCTTGGAATTTGGGAGGCATTTCAGGGGGCACATCCCTGGAAATGACACTTTCTGTGTTTTTCTCAGGTTCTTTGCGATTGTCTATCAAGTTAAGGCAGTGATTCTCAGGTTCCTTTGCTGTTTTTGTATTTACACTGAGTTTTGCTCTTTTGCTATTGGAGCACAGAGAGACAGAAAGCCCCAGCTGTGCTACACCACTGCACTCTTCCTTCAAGTCCCTGTCAGAAACGTCCGTCAAAGATTCATCATCTCTTCTGGCTTCTGTCGGTGTGCGAGGTGTCACTGATGCAGAGCCAAGCATTTCAGTGATTTTGATTTCTTTGCTTTCTGAACTTGAGGAGGTGACTTTGTGTGAGTCAGGGGAAGCAAGTGTTTTTTCACTTTCTGGGGGGCATGTGGATTCGGGGTTCCTAATTTCTGTTTCACCTTGACCTGCTGTGTCATCTTCATCTCCTGCCTGCCAGACACTTCCTGTCAGATTGAAATCCACTGCCAATGCTCTGTGCACATCTTTAGACTGCAGAGTCTTCCCCTCACCTGGGTCCCTAGTACAGCTTGAAGCGGGTTTAAGACTGCCAGCGCCAGGCCCTCCTTCAGTACTGTCGGCCCAGGCCGATGGGTCATTGAAGGTGTTCTCATGGACAAATTCACTCATGTCCTCAGGAGACACCTCAGCCACCAAGTTCTCCTTCACCAGGAACTTTTTGACTCCTTCTTCCACGCAGAGCAACACACCATCCCAGTCCCGAAACTCAATGAGTGTTTTTGCAGGCTCCATGCACACATCGTACTCTGAATAATGGCACTTAATATTAATGACATAAACCCCATGGAGCTCTGAACCACCCCTCTGCTTTGGACTGTGCACAGCGATGGACACAACGGGGATGCTGTTCTGCCTGCTGGCAACTCTCACCTTCTTTAGTAAGAAATTTAGGAGTTTATGAATCCGCGTTCTCAAGACTAGTCTGCTGTTTACGTAGAGAAACTGCATGCTGTTGTTGTAGTGACCCTCACGCCCTATGTGGCCACTCATTTCAAACTGGTTGTGGCAATGACTGATCTCCCCAAGCTTCTGAGCTCTGCCCAGTCCGTGAATCTGGGTGAACCTATAGTACGTGGCCCGCGACTTGGAGAGCTGGAGCACCGTGCATCCGGTGGAGTCATTTCTCAGAGAGAAGGAGACGGAGGGGTGCATGAGGGAGACTGCTTCGATCCTTTGCCTGATCCGCTCGCATTCCAGAACCGGGTCGAGCCTTTTCCTCCTCACGGGCAGATTGTGGAAGACGTCGCAGGCCACCACCGTCGTGCCGGCTGCGGGCCGGGTGGTTGCTGCCTCGGACACATCTAAGCCCCTCCCGTTCTTGAACACTTTCACGAAGGTCTTCACGGACCCTGGGGTCCTTGACGAGACCTCCAGCAGGGTGGCTAAGCCGGCTATGCTTGCCAGGGCCTCCCCTCGGAATCCGTAAAACCGCAGGGCTTCCAGATCATCCAGAGAGCCGCACTTGCTGGTGAAGTACCTGTTGCCCACCTGCTCCAGGTCTTGCCTGTCCATCCCAGAGCCATTGTCCAGAACCTGCACTTTTCCCGCCTCAATGTCCACTCTCACAGCCACGCAGCTGGCCCCAGCGTCGATGCTGTTGAGCAGGAGCTCCTCCACACACTGCGTCAGTGAGAAAATGGCTATCCCAGAGCGAAGCTTCGCCTGCACGTCCTCGGACAAACGTCTAATCATAGTTCTGACGCTATCGGAAAACTAAACCGCCTCTTTGCTGTAAAAATTATCTCAGCAAGCGCTCCTAGGCCCGTCAGACATTTCTGCACATTTAAGAGTAATTCGGAGCTCCGTCCTAATGGGACTTTTCTGCAAATAAATACTTCCAACACATTTTACCTAACTCCCGGTCTAATAAATTGTACATTCTACATCAAGGGTGCCGTTTCATAACAATTTCTACTGTCGCCATCTACTATAATTTGAGATTCCCGGCTGCCGCCGGGAACAATCGCAGACTGACAGCTTCAACCCTCTTACCATGTTGGGAACTATTCTTTTAACAATGACGGTTTAAAAAAAAAGTTAAAAAAATAACATTCTGACGAGTTTGATAAACAAAACTACGCACTACGGTGCTGGACAAAACGCACGCTAAAACCTATTATCCAACCATTCAAACTACTACTCTACTTTTGAAAGAGGGGGAAGAAAAACGGTGCTATAATTATCTTAGGGGAAACGACATTCAGCCGTGACATCGACAAGACCGTATTTCAACTTTGTTCTTCTTCATATTTAAAAAAATAATTTACACTGACTTTTTCTAGCTGAATGTCCTTCCAAAGTGCCCGTTTCCATGGCTTCCGGTTACTATGGTGATGCGCGAATTAAAAGCAGCATTCGTGGACAGTGAAATGCAGGCCATCTCTAATTTCACTCTAATTTCTAACATTCACAGAGCAAGAGCAATCCTAATCCATCCTGCGTGGTATTGTTTGTATGTCTTCACATCCGCATCCGGGCCCGAGCGTTTGTGTTCAGCTCTTTGCTGCCCCTACCGCAAGAAATACAAATTTCGAGTCTCAGGGTTTTTTTTTAAATTATCGGTATCCATTTCTTATGTACGGTTTACCTTACCAAAATAAAATTCATAATATAACATATTTGAACAGTTTTTGACGTTTCGGACATAAACGTATTGAGAAATATCTCGAAAGACTCAATTTTGTAATGATGCATATTTTATTGACCAATTGTTGAGTTGATGATTACATCTCAAAAATAAACATAGGGCTAGCGTATTTTTTACAAAGTACCGTCATTAAGCTGCCCTCTCAGTAACTATATTAACAAAATTAAACAGTACACAAATGGTTCTTCAAAATAAATAGGGATTTAATAAACACACAAAGGGAACGTAGAATGTTCAAAACATCCTCAAGCACTTATGTACAAGATTCAGATTTGGAGACGGTATGCGTATTTAGCAGTTTAAGCCTTCACTGATGTTATCTGCAGTACATTTACAAAAAAGCATTCCAACACAGTGACATCTTGAAACCAAATGACCAAACATCTTGATTCTAGGAAGATGTTTATGCCTTTTTTTTTAATAATAATAAAAAAGAAAACAGAAAAACACATCACATTTGGGAGGTTAGGGCCGGACGATCCTGAAATCCTTGTGATCCAGACTCTCCACTTTCTTCTCGTTGGAGAACTCCGCCTTGGCGATCTGGGACTTGGGGCTGCCTTTCTTCCTCAGCCACTCCTGCATCTCTCGCACCCTGCTGCCGGGTCCCTGGAGCTGGCCTCTCACTGTCCCTTCCCTGGTGTTCTGCACCCAGCCTGTCAAGCCCAGCCTCTTGCCCTCAGCCTGGGGGAAGGGCAGCCACACAGAAATACAGCACACTCCTGCTACCGGACCGGCTGATCTGAGATTGTGCGCGCACGGAGACCCAGGGCTGTCGAACCCAGCTCCAGGTTCCATACCTAATTCTCAGCGACTGATTACTTCATTAACTGGGAAAGAGAGTGGTTCTATCCTGTACACACTCTGTACTTTGACTTGGGTACTGTTAATTTCTCAGCTCGGCACAAACACTACACAATGCCCACATGTGCCACAAAATATTTAAATGATAGTCATCGAGAAGCAACACCAAAACACAACATATATGTATAGCATGCATACAAAGAGATTGCAATCTCACATGCACATTTATAGCAGACGGCTGTTCTGTGGTTGCTATGGCAACTCACTAAGAGTGCCCAATAGGAAGTATATACTGTACTGCCACATAGGGAAGCACAACTGAATGATAGCTGTCCACGCATTTTCAATGTCTTCATCCAAGACAGGGCTGGAGAACAGCCAATGAGGTCAAGACCAGATACATCCTAGACAAGCTGCCAGTCCTGAGCAGGAGGTATGTGTATACACACAAACTCGGAGGATGATTTCCATACTCCAAAAAATCTGGACAGGATAGATAAATCTGTACTGTGGGGGGAAACAGGAGTCCCAGGGTGAAAACCCAGCAATGGGCAGAACATGCAAACCGGGCACAGGCATACTGGGCAGGAAGCAAGCCGAGGGCTCAGGAAATGTGGGGCAGCACTGTTAACTGCATTGCCACCGTCACACCCATCCTTAAAGGGCTTTACATTCCCAGGACAATCATGCCTGTGCTGCCTCAAGCGCCTCTTCATTTTCATTTTCATTCTCCTGTGTTGGGTGGGCGAATGAAATCCGAGTTTCCGATCGCCGAATTTAACTAGATGTTCTATAATTGAGAAGCTGGTATTACTCATAAATAAACAAACACAAATAAAGAAAAAGGGCTCTACCTGAGTGTACTTTCGGAAAAAAACACCCTGCACTCTGCCATAGATTTCATAATCCACTGAAATCAGATCTTCTTTACCGGACATGGCAGAGACCTAGACAAAATAATGCAAAAACAAAGCGTCAGGAACAGTAAAAAGTACATTTTAAATATTTCAGCGTGGACTGAAGTCTTTCCAGATCAACTTTTATTTTGCATTTTGCGTTCGAAATAAAAAAACAAACAAACTTGGTTTTTCAAAACTAAAAGGATGTTTGAATTCTATATCGCTCTTAAATATCAGGGGGCAGAGCTCATTAGGGGCATTATATCCGAAGCTTCGTCTTCATCCCAGATCAACAAAACGCTAGCATATTCATCATATGTCTCAATCTATTATCCAACATAATTAAACATTAGATATAGCCTCATGATTTGCCCGAGCTATCCCTGCACATTGGAGACAAAACATCATATACTCACATTACGATAAATAGCAACCACGAAAGACAAATCACGCACACACATTAAAATATCACTAACCAGTATTAAAAACACCCATACGACAAATGTGTGTATGTATAGCGCATCTCTTTCAAAACGAAGGGCTTAATCCAGACCGGTACATCCGGGGCATCTCACAACTTCCGGATGACTTTCCACGTGGTTTGTCTGCGCCCAATCACAAACAGAGCCCCTTGACAACTGAATGTTACGATGCCAAGGAACCCCGTGGCGTCTCCCGGTTTCCAGGCAACGCATGCCAACAAACCCTATTGTTAAACTCTTACCGGAGAATACCCTCTGATGACCGACCTGCGAGGACAAAGGGCTCGCCTACTGTGACGCTGGGGGTGATGTTGTGAAGGGCATCACTTTAGCTCGGGGAAAAACTCGTCACTCTCTGTGCCTTTGCAGGCTTGGTGACTGTATTTCAAGGGGAGACTGTAAAGTTTCATAAAACCATACGAGGGGGGATTTTCTCCTACTTTTTTTTTGTAAAAAGCGCTGTTTAAAGTCGGCTTTCTATAACAGTTTTAACTGCAGGTTTAAGATACCAGTGAACAAACCCAAAAAGTTAAGGAGAGAAAGGAAACCCTGCCACGCAAGTGTTTATTCATGCTTTTCAAAGGACGCCAGATCGTGACAAACTCCCCAGAGCTCTGACGAAGGATTAGAAGCAGAAATCTGTCGACAAAACCAAAGAAAGATTTTTGGTGAGTAAATTATGATGAACTAGCACGTTTTTTTTGGACTGTCGTGTAAGTAAATATATAATGTGTCATATACAGTGACTTCTGAATTATTTATAAGGTTTTGCCCAGAAATATATGTTGTTTTTTCCTCTTCCACGTCTGCAGCCGAAGAAATGTTGAATGAACGACCAGTGTCACGTCTCACTCGGGGATGCTGGGAAATAAATACAAACCAATTTCATTGGCCACGAGGGTGATTTATGGTCAAAACTGAATATAGATTTCCAGTTGAAAATAACGGGCATAATGCTTGCGTTGCATCCAGCCTGCGTTTTATTTAAGCTAAAAACTCAGTGTGCAACATTTAGTCGTTTTATAGTCTTTAGGAGAATCTGCAAACAGGATAATTACATTGTAACACAAATGGTTCTTCTGCCAGAAGGACAGCTACCTCATTTTTATAGTTTCTTAAAAGTATGATGCATGTATTGTTGTTTGAGGTGAAGAAAATGTTTAATATGTAATATAATTTTTTTTTGTGTATGTGGTTTGTTCAAGAATAGGCCTTTTCCTGTATTCACTGTAGGTATACATTAATATCATTACATTTCACTCCCAATCAGACACTTGGAAGAAAATAACCTGCCTGTCTCCTCTGCAAATGGTACCACATCTTAGACCTCGAGCTCCCCCTTCCTCGGTAAAAAGATGCAAACCGATAAACTTCCACCCCTGAGGCCCGGTGGACGGAACCCAGCTCTGCACCCGTCCAAGTTACAGCTGCTGCAGAGCAACTTCCAGCAGAAACTTGGGGAGGAGAAGGAGAAGAAGCTGATCGCTCTGTACCGGCAGCAACAGCAGGCCGTGCTGCAGAAAGCCAGGATTGGTTCCCAGCACGACCAGCAGTCTGCATTGCAAACCATGGCGAACAACAGGGGTGGAACTGGCCTGCACAGGGAACATAGATCTGCTGGGAATCTGCCCAGAAATGGCCATCTCCATCACGTTGCCCCTGGAAAGAAGACAGCTGGGGTGGATAGGTCCTGCCCACTGAAGCCTGTGTACCACAGGAAAGCCTTCAGTCTCAATCACATCTTCAGTCCAGGTGATGTTGAGGCTGTGAAGCCTATAGGAGCACCGAGGAATATCCCAGTGGCTCCTTCTCTGCCTGCAGATCACCCAGAAGGGAGTCATTTGCAAGTGGACAGGAGACACCCTAGAGCACGAATCCCCAGGGATAAGACATCCCCTCTAGATGTGGCCCACACCCCAGATGAAAACTCCTCCAGGGTGAATTTAAGTGGTCTCCACTGGCTGCAAGGGGAACAACGAAGACTAGCAGAGGTAGAGGCCAACCTGGCGGAAGAGATAAGGAGGAAGGAGCTCCTGCTCAGGGCAAAACTGAAAAGGACCGAGGAAGAGCTGAGGAGGATTCAGATAGAGATGGAAGATTCTGACGAAGAGGAGGAGTGGGAGGAGAGAGGAAAAATGGCCCAGCAAAGGAGAGCTCAGGAGAGACAGCACGATGGTGCTCCAAAAGGGCACCTGGGCAGTGCCAGTGGCAGGGGTGTGCCTGCAGAGCCCTATAGTTCCTCAAGACACTCAGTTCAGGACAAGCAACCGGTCGATGCAAGAAGAAAAACTCAAGTCCTGCCTCTTATTGAAAATAACACAGAGCTTCACACTCAATCTCTGCTCAATCACTCAAGTTCTGCTCCATCACACTTCAAGAAACATGAAAAGGCCTCTAACGCCGGCCAGTCACAGGATGTGCCCTACAGATATGAAACACACGTCAGGAATCAAGGGAAGCATGCCGAACCAATTCCTCTGGACAGCCGCATTCCACAAGCAAGCTATGAAATGAGCAATGGAAATTGTGCTGAAGAAAGGCTGCCTCAGGGGAGCGGAGACTTATCACCAAGACGTTTTCCACTCTCTGTCGAAGAAGCACCCCAGGCGGAGCAGAGACCGACGTACAATCAGGAAGGGAACTCGCAGCTGTTGCCCTGCACGCTCTGCAACAGGACATTTGCAGCAGAAAGATTGGAGAAACACCGTAGAGTCTGTGAGAAAATGCAGAATTCCCGCCGGAAGGTGTTTGACTCTTCCAAGCACAGAGCCAAGGGAACCGACCTGGAGCAATACATCAACTTAAAGAAGAAAAGTACAACGCCAGAGGTAGGAAGTGACTTTAGAATTCCTTCCCACAAATAAAACGAATGTGTGAATATGATTGTTACCCAATCCAGAACATAAAGCAGCCCTTAAAGATCCTCCGAGTGTGGCAAAGGGGTTCCAGGAATCAGAGGTTTTCCCCAGGCAGTCTAGTAGTGTGTAAAACCTTACACAGTGGGTCTGTTCACCAGCAGGTTTGGCTTTTAAATCATAGTAACAAATAGCACCATTTTGGCAAACAGTTGCTTATGCATAAATTTGGGTTCCTTACAAGAAGGGATTTATTGAAAAAGTGTCCCCCAACCAGAAAAGGCTGAAAACCCCTGACATAAGAACTCAAGGAAAACCTAGGAAATGAGAGGAGGCCATTGGGCCTCTCTAGCTCAAATGATAATCAATAACTAATCGATCCAAGGATCTCAACCAGTTTCTTGAAGGGAACCAGTTTCTTTATTGGTGTCCACAACAGGTTTTGTGGTTGGGTGGCTTGTTCCATACTCTCACAAACTGTTGGGTAAAGAGGTGCCTTCCTTCTCCGTTTGACTTGCACTTGTGTCCTCTGGTTCACCGTTTGCTCTGAAGAGTTCTGCTGGGCCCATTCTGTCAATGCCCATGAGGAATTTAACTTGCATCAGGACCCCCTGTAGTCTTCTCTGTTCCCAACTAAAAAGGTTCAGGTCCTTCAGCCCGTCATGCAAAACCCTGCACTAGTCTACGCTAAACACCACCGGCCCGAGGTTTGTCCAGTCTTGAATTTCACCTAGATGTTTTTTAATTTAATTTTTTGCTATTAAGAGTGATTGCTGATGCTCCTAATTTGGTATCATCTGCAAACTTGAGTTTACCTACTATACCAGTATCTAGTTGATGGCTATAAATGAGGAAGAACGGCACAGAACCTTGTGGTACTCCTTTAATTAGATCATCCCAGTTTGAGGACTCACCCCTTATCGGTATTATTTTCTATTAACCAATTCTCAGTCCACTTGCTTTTTTCCCTGAATGCCGACTGCTGGCATTTTGAGAATGAAACCTTCATGAGCAACGTATTTAAAAGCTTTCTAAATATCAAAAGGCACCATTATCGTATACCTTGTGTTTCCATTACAGCTGTAGCTCTAACATGTTGGTTAGGCAAGACCTACCTTTCCTAAATCCATGTTGACGGTTCTGTAGGATATTTCCCACAAAGGTTCCAAATTGGATCCAAAATTACATGGTTCAGTTTTCTTAGCCTCCTTATTGACGTACACTCCATGAAAAATTTCCCCAGTCCCTGGGTACGAGTCCTGTCTTGAGTGACTGCTGGAAGAGGCCTCAACAGCTTCTGACGTCTCAGAGCTGTTGGGACTTTATTTGATCACCACCACCACTGCCGCCTCCAAAGAAAACAAGGTCGTAAATGAGCTTTTTTACCGAAAAAAATCTGTAAGGAAAAAAAAGTTTCCAGTGATTTCTAATTCAATTTAAAAAATGCAAAACAAATGGTTTGAAACTATTTTGGGATGAGTTCCCATTGTGCCAGCTTCTATATTAGTTGCCGCCAGCCTGACGGGCCTGGCCCACAGGCATGCGCGTACTGCGGACACGTGGCTCATTCCAGGCGTCTCCCCATCGCTCTCCCGCTTTGCTCCCCTCCCAGCCGAAGAGGAGCACCTGGCGGCAGAAGCACGAGGCCTTCGTCCGGAACGTCAGGCAGGCCAGCGAGGTGCAGGAGGACCTGCCCCCGCCCCCCCCCACTGGCGACAACCCCGACTACGTGCCCTGCCCCCACTGCGGCCGGCGCTTCGCCCCCCGCCCCGCGGAGAGGCACATCCCCCTGTGTCAGAACCTCAGGAGCCGCCCCCCTCCTCCTCCTCCCCGGCGGAGGCCGCGATGAAGAGCCCGGACCCGCTGGGGAGACCAGCCTGCTCCCAGACCTTTACACCACAGTTACTTAAGCTACAAAAAGCAAAAAACAAAAACTGCCTTTCTATTAAAGTATTGCCTTTGAGCTGGCATTTTGATAATCCTGATATTCTAAATGAAAATAAGTTTACTTTCTACACTGATGTATAGACAAAAATGTGCAATGGCCTGAAATCATGAAAATGTAAATGAACAATCATTAACAATGCTCCTTACAAGACAGACCTTGACATAGTGAATGTATCATCTCCTGGAACATGTAAACTTTTTATTGAGTAATTCTAAGTAGTGGCTCACAGAACACTTTATTCAAGCTCCTAAACCACACAGTCCACTCCGGTGGTCAATTTTGACATTAAAGACCATACATACCATTTTAAACAATTTTCTAATAAAAGTACTATAGTCATTTTAAGAAACTGACCACAAGTAGTAATGTAAATAAAAAATCATGTGGGTCTTATGCCGATTTACTACTGAAATCATAAAATATTGGGTGCGTGATGTGGCATTGTAAAATAATTGAATTCTAACCTTCATTATAAAATTATAAATTGTTCAAAACGCAATTATAACATTACTTTTTTGACAACTAGCATATTCCTAGAACTATAACGTTTTTTCAAACATACATTTCTCTATACATAAACTTCTGAAAAAAAAGACAAACTTATCCTTTAATGCTTGATAGAGATTTGCAACAGATTATAATCTTTAACAAACGTTTTCCGTGTGTTGGTATGCTCCGTTTTCTTTAAAATAAAATAAAAATCCTCAAGGCTGTTTAGAACTTTATTTCGACAATAAGCACACAACAATAAAAACAGGAAGAGATCTGTAGTGTTCAGGTGAAGTTGCAAGTCTTGTAAAACGTTTAAGCTTTGAACCGTGGCACTATGAATGGCAGTCAGAACGCTCGTTTTAAACAACAGGATGCAACTGCTTCCCAAAACTTCGCAGACAATTTTAAATTTCAGTTGGTACGGGCCAACAGCACAATATAACTGAAAACAAAAATGGGCAAGTCCTTAATGAAAACTGTTCAAAATTAATCTTGCAAGGTTATCCTTGCAGAACAGGACACAGGAACATTTTCTGTTTGAACTCTTTACGGTTCAAACAGAAGATGTTTGCATGCAATTCTTTGAACTGTCAGTTCAATTTCTGGGCCTGCGGAGTGGGAAAAGACCATCATGTTCCATTGGACTGGATGGATATAATTTAAAGGTTTTTGTTTGGCTTTCATTTAGTACAGTCCATAACAGGAAAAATGGCACTTTAAATTAGGCTTTATGACCCTTTACTCATGGAAGAAAAAGTCCCTTATCGTACAATTCACAAAATATGTTAAAAAAAGAGATGTCTAGCAAATGTCTTAATCTGTATTGATCTGATTGTAAGACATTTTTAACCAGAACAGGGTAAAGTGCGTCTTGCACCAATGTCTCATAAGCACCAAACTGGGAAACAGGCACACTTGAATTACACTTAACACTAAAACAAAGCCGGCCATTAAGGAAATACTAGTATCATGAGGATGAAAAACAGATGGGGCAAGAAATAACCCAAAAAGTGTTTTGATTCTGTGAGGGTGCTTTGTTACACACAGTGCACAAAGAAAATAAGTTAGGTTCCTATCTGTGAGCCTCACGCTGGCAATGAGGGGAAGTGCACATGAAGGAAAAAATAGTTGTTCATTATACTCTCGCTTAATCAGCAGCCCCTTCCCAAACCAATACAGGTAAATCCTGTGTAAAAGAACTCCAGGCTGCTGCCTCGTCATTGAAGTATCACACTGTAAAACCACAGAAAGACATGCACTACCATCTGTTATCATGTCAGTGGGAAGAATTAAACCTCACTGCAATCTCTTTCATCCATTTCATTACTCATTAAGGCTGGTTACTGCCATCCTCAAGACCACAGGAAAAAGAAATACAATTTCCCCAAGAAAAGTAAATAAGAACAAGAGAAACAAACAATAAAACAAGTATTTATCAGTAGTACAACAGTGGCATATCCTTGTACTAAGGTGCACAAGGCAGGCAAGTCTCAATTTCTTTCACCCACACCTAAACAAATGTGTATCTGGAGTGTACTCAGCACAGTAACTGAAAATCACACCAACATACATTTGGTTGTTGGTTCATAATATAATCATGGTTTATTTTTTTTAAGTGTAAAAAAATTGCACTGTTACTATAAAAATCCATTGTTCTGCAAGCATATTTATGCTGAAAATGTTATGCATACTTACAAAATAAGAACGTTCATACTCTGTACTTGCCTTAGCAAAATGTGCTTTATCTTCACAAAGTAAATTAAGACACCTTTAAAATACCTCTCTTTATACATATATGTACTGCAACCTATGTCTTTTAATTCAGTTATTTTGGGAAATCTGCTCATTTTATCAGTTTAGGGGCTGCTTTCACTTTGTTAAATTAAAAACCGAATGCTGTACCAAGCTCCTTGAGACTGCAGCCAGCAGTCTGCTCATCAAAGGGCAAACTTCCTTCTGCAATTTTAAAAGTTCCTTAAGAACAAGTGATGCATGGAGTGGGACAGAGAGTTGCTAGGATGTTGGTCAAGAAAACATCATCAAACTATAACAGGTAAAGATAACTTATGAGCCTTGTGCAGTACACCGAGGTAATAATAAATGCATGTTTTAATTGACCGGAGACAAAGCAGCAAATTACCAAAAGACAAAGCATGCATTGCTGAAATTCGAACATTATGCAGCTTTATAAATACTAACTGGTAACCACTGCAACTCGCAGTCTGGAAACAAACCATTTAAACAGTAGCAGGATATGATATAATCTACACGCAGGCTTTGGCCATCAGAAGAATATTCTCCCTCAACCAGATGTGCCGGAAACACTCACTTTGAGTCATGCAAATATAAAAAGGCACACAGTAGCAGCCAACTCTACTTTCATCCTAATGAAAATCTGTCATCCTCGATCTTACATTCCAGACCGATACCAAGTCATGGCCAGAGGGCTCTATCTCAATACAGAATGCTGCCATTAAGCTATTAAACCCCTCAAAATGACAAAATCATACTTCATCAAAACCTCTGGAGAAAGGCACGTTTGTTCAGTTAGACTGTAACAGTGACTGTTTGCGGATAAATCTTCTCTAATGCTACTCCCGCATAACCCAGTCAGAGAGCATGTATGGCTTCATTTTTCCTGTGTATATTACAGTTTTATGTAATTCCCACATATGCTTATAAGAAGGCGTAGCAATTTTAAAACAACTATCATTAAGGAATTTAAACCTAAATTTTGGTGGTTAGCGTGACAATCCGAACAGGTGTTGATATTCAAAAACGTTACTCTGAGTCCCCTCTGGAATTACAACTATTTCTTACCTGACACAACCTTTAAACTTGCCTCACCATCCCTAGTTGCTGTGTCCACCTCTCCACAATATCAATCCTTCCAGCTTCCTCATCATCTAACCTCCTCCTGGCATGCACTAGCGCAACGTTATCAGTGACTCCGAAACCCCTGTGGATTTCAGAACATCCTTTCCATGTGAACCCTCCTCCTGCCCTGTAAAAGAATCCTCTTTCCCCCGGAGCTGACCCACATCTCGGAAACCTGCACCGTAGGAATGCGCCGAGATGGGACAGCGTCCGGAGTCTCTCAATCTGCATCAGGCCAGTGGAAAGGAGCTCTGCGTTACTGGCTGGGCTCTGCTCCATCACCCTCGGTATCGGTATCGCCTTGGCGATAGTTCGTTTCGGCCCCCGCCGTCCGCAGCGTCAGACTCTCGATCGCCGCCCAGAGCCTCTTGTTTTCGTCCAGCTGATCGCTGAACTACGAGACATACACAAAACCCACAAATGTTGCGTCGGCACATGTTCAGTTTATTTGTCATATGCACAAGCTCAATGATATACGCAGATTTTCTTTCCCCGATACAAAGATATTAAGGAATCACCAAAACATAAACACAGAACAGCTGCAGCAACAACAAGTGAAATAACATACAACTTTAAAAAAATACAAACACAAACAGATGCAACCCACCTGCTTCTGTAACATCTGGATCACTGCTTCCTGTCGACTGACCGTCTCTCTTAGCTGTAAAACAAAACCATCTGAGATTAGGCTGAATGTGGTCAGGGGAACAGCTACTGAAGCACAAGGCCTCAACATGCAAAACCAGAAAAGTGGATGGTAACAACCATCTATCCGTCCTCTCTTCCACGATGCCCACACCTGTGCCAGTTCGGTGCCCTCTGTGCCCGCGCTCTGGTGCCCAGCACTGCAGCGGGCGCTCACTGGCTCGTGGGACCCGCCCTCGCACTGCAGCCCGCCGTTCGTCTTGCAGTCGCCGGGAACCGCGTCCACCCCGTTCACCGCCTCACAGCCCACCCGGGCGGTCTGCAGGGGACACAGGACGGACCCTTACAAAGTGTCTGACGTCGGCTCTTCATCGCGCAGATGTAGACAAACCCCAGGCTCAGGGTTACTGAAGCATCAAGTGACAGGAAAATCTCCTCCGCGGTGGCGGACAGTACCGGGAGCTCCTTCTCTGCGGCGGCGGCTACGGCTACGGCCGCCGTCAGCTCCTGCAGCTCGTCGTACGGCAGAGTGGCGCTCTCCGAGAAAACGGCGTTCGCTGGGATGGGCGTGGAGTCCCCAGGGCTCTGCGGCATAGGGATGAACTCGGCTTCCTGGAGCTCCTGCGGGGAGAGAGAGAGAGGGGGCACTCCTGCCATGAGCACTCGAGAACAGACCGGGAGCACGGCGCCTCACACTGACACTAAACAGTACTGCACACTGAGGAAAAGCAGAAAGGAGAGATCACTCCACACTGAACAATCATTTCGCACTTTCCACCGATTTGTTTTTTCCCCTGCTTTGTTTACTGATGTTGTTTTTTTGTTACCAATACAATTTAAGCAGGGCAACAGCAGTTCGCTGCAGTAACTGGCAATGACAATAATGAAGAGGAGGTTTTAATTTCTCCACCCACGAACAGACCTGGCGCAGCCAGAAAGGGCAGGAGCTGTCGGTCGGGTCCTGGAGGGACATCATGGAGGTCCGGATCCCACGCACCCCCGTGTCCGCCTCCACCGTGCCCCCCGAGCCGCCGTCCCGCAGCGGGGCCTCTGACCCCTGCTCGCTGTCCAGGCCCACGGTGGACGTGGAGCCCTGTCCCACTGGACACACAGAGAGGTGCTCGTCAGGAGCTCGTCTGCGCTTTGCAAACCCACAACATCAGACCAGAGGTCCCCCAGGGGTCCCGAGTCTTAGGAACAATTAACAGGACAGGTAAGGAGACCAGGAGACCAGGGTGCCAGTCCTTGACATCTCTCCTTTATTAACTATCTCAAGGTAAAAATAAACTGGCAAAAGATATAGGCGGTGGATAGTTTTCATGAACTACTAAACCCCATACAAAATTCTGGAGTTTCTCTGACGAGTTGACCCCCCCCCCCCACACACACACGCAACACGCAACACGCAACACGCAACACAAGCAATCGCACCCACTGCACGTGTTACGGCTCCGTCTGTGCTGGGCTGTGCTGCTGAAACTCAGTTTGAAGCCACTCGGCCCTCCTACACCTGCGACAAGAGTCATGTGCCTGAAGACGTAAGGCGCTGTGTCTGGGGAATGAAAGCAGCACCAAGGCCACTTTCAACAGCACGAGCCAGCACAGACAGAGCACGAACGAAGGCGGCGGGCTTCACCGTTTCTGCTGTTTGTAGTGGAAGCAAATTGACCGAGCCCAACTACGTCCCCAGGGGGAGGCCATTATCTGCAACGCGGCCTTCCCCATCACTGGGGTCAATGTGGGATGCAGACCTCTCCCAGGTGACCGTCCTCCCCCGCTCCCATCTCCCAGTAACTGGGCCCTCGACGAGTGACTCAATCACACAATTGGGGATTCATTTAAACTCTGCGATTTAACAGATAACCTTAATCTTGACTTCAAAAGACAGAACAGGATTTGAAAAGGTTCCAATCAAGCAGCCTGCTAGTGGGACCAGGGTGTGAAGTCCTACACTAGACGAAAGAGGTTTGTCTGTGCAGGGGCGTCATTTTTGCACGGTTCAGAAAGTCTGGATGAGTTTGAAAAGCAGAGTGGGTGGGATTGGGCTCCCAGCCCAGTAATGCTATTTTCATTGTTGTGACAGCTCCCTGTGCCTCAGGGCAGTGTCTGATGTTGCGGTTGTTGTTGGAATAATTTCCATTTTAAATGAAAATCATGACAGACTTTCCTGTTCCTTAGAGAACAGCCACATCTGTTCCATCTTTAGCTTGATCTAGCTAAAGAGAACGGAGAGGGCCTGGCACAAAACCACCATCTTCAAAAAGTGGGAGCAAACTTTTTGCCACCATTTCAGGTCCTGGTGATAGCTCGTGGTTTCTCTTACCACTGCCGATGGAGAGCCCGCTGCTGTTTGACCGGATAGTCTTGGAATTCAGGACTTTTTCTGAAAAGTAAAAAGGACACAGGGAGAAATAAAGGTTCCATTCCCAGTTCGTGGCGACGCTGCTTCCTGGCACAGCGTTGGCACGGCAACCAGAACTGACAAAGACGCACCCACGATCAGGATGGTGTGCCACCCGCGGCAGGACAGGTCGGGCACGTGGTGCAGGGAGCCGAAAATGGGGCGGGGCAGAGAAGGGCAGACTTCCGAGCCGTATCCCTTGTCCGGCGGCATTCCCAGGCGGCCGTTCCCTGCGTTCCCCCAGGCGAAAATCTGATTGTCTGGGAAACATAAATACCAGCATGCTTTGCTCTGAGCCTCCAGACGTGCCATCAAGATGAACAGTCGCCCTGTTCACCAGTGTCCGCACTCCTTATATTTGCCTGTGCAGGAACTTCACCCAAATTCCCAAAAGAGATAAAACATTGGCCCGCACAGAATGTCTCCTGGGGTCACATTGGCAACAAAAGGAACAATGTATTATCTTAAACAAAAGCATGTCAACCTATCGGCACATTCACTTGTAGCTGAAAGTACTGCGGCTGACCACAGCCTTGAATGATTTCTGAAACAAGTGGTAACACACGAGCATGAAAGACTTCGATAAATATTTTGCAAAAACACATTTCGCTGACATCAGAGCGCGCTTCTGATGAGCTCCTGAAATAACTCCACCTTTGGCTTGTGAGAAAAAGACACGGCCTCGCTTACCTTCTGTAGCAGCAATCGTGAAGCCATCTCCACAGGACACCTTGGTCACCGCATTGCCTCCGAACGGCCCCACCAGCAGGCTGACGCCCTGGTGCTTCTTGTAGTCCCTCACGCCCAGCTGCCCAAACTTATTACAGCCGAAGGTCAAGAGCCGCCCACGTTCTGAGAGCCAGCAAGGGGAGCACATGGAATAAATCATGGAAATCGTTAATGTGCCTCAAGCAGTCTTCCCATCCATTATTCCCAAGCCCTCACCCTGTGCACTTCACCATCATCCTGCATCATCTACAACGAAAGCTGATATTCCTGATCTACGCGGACTGGCGTCAGAATAAAACTGCCCCTCTCTTTAACGCACCAGGCTTCGTGTGTGCTTAAAGCCTGCTCTCTCACACTTCACACAGTGCGTTTTTACGAGCGCCAGGTGCCCTGCGCCCCGCCAGCCGTCTCTCGCCCTCAGCATCGGGAGAGGGGCTGGCGTGGAGCCGCGAGCTCGCAGGCCCTGCCTACCGTCGATGGCCGCAGTGTGGGTCTTGCCCGGCGCGATGGTTCTGATCTTGAAGCGGGCCAGCTGCTTGACCAGTGTGAGAGACGTGGTGTAGGGGATCTCCTGGTACACCTGGCCAGGGGCGGGAGGAGAAAGAGCCCTCTGTCAGCTGAAGTCAGCCCTAGCACAACATTCTACTGCACAACTAACCCGTGTGGTCCCCAATTTCACACCCGTCATAAAACATCTCTATATGTACTTGCCTTAAATGAATCCATCTTAAGTTACGGGGCAAAAAAAGTATTTTCTCTCCCAGACCTTCGGTACTGCGGTCTGCAGACTGTCAATTTAGAAATGCTACTGTAGTCCTCCAGGAGGTAGGATTCCTCGCAAGGAGTGTGCGTGGATTCACAAAAGCCCTTGTGAAGGCATAAATCAACACCACGCTTAACCATGAGCACCATAAAGGGACAATCTGGCAACCAGAGCTCAGGACCTTAGGCTACAGCAAGGAAAAACAAAGCATTCTGCCCCCTAAGTACCAGCTTACTCTAGTAGTCAAGTCGGTGCTCTGTGGGGGGAGTACTGCAGTGTTATCATGCAAGTACGTTTCAAACAAACAACTCACTTGCATGTCGTTATCCCTCAAAAGCAACAAATTAAAAAAATAATTCCATTGAACTCTAGCACAGTTAAAAGGGCCAGCGTTAGATGACCTTGAATGTTCTACTTCTGCCCAAGGACAGGCCTAGGGTGCTTCAGTTAGGTGCTCTGATCCCAGTTCCGGGGCCTGCTGCCCGCCTCCTCACCTCTCCCGCGTGGTTCATGATCCCGGAGATGCTCTGGTTCAGCCCCAGCTTGTTCATCTCGTTGCTCCCGCACGCCAGCACCTTGCGGGTCTCCGTCAGGAAGAAGGTCCCGTCGGCGCCGCAGTGAACGGAGCCGATGCTGACGCCCGCCGGAACGCGCACCTGCGACCAGAGGCGGGCGGGAAAGCGTCACCCTGCGCCCCCCAGCCCGCTGCTGCCGCCGGCACGAGCCCCCGAAACCCCTCCACCGTGAAAGAGCTACGCAGAACGATAACCGAACATCGTTTTCCTTCTCATCAAAAGAGTTCTGATCTCAGTGACGACAACGGCGCTTTCGTGGCCTGACCCTGAAACATCAGGACACCACTCCCGTCTACAGCCCTACAGAGTACAGACGTCCTGACCTGCTGCGGAGAGGCCCAGTCATCCTCCGAGTCCAGCCCAAGGCGACCTTCACAAAGGAAAACACAGACAGGGTTTTGCCAAGCACTAACAGAGACCAGGGACTGGTTTAAAAAAAACATCAAGTAGAGACAGAGATGCGGTGTTTAATCCCAGACATTGGGATCGCAATCGAATGTGCAGGTGTTGTGGTGCAGGGAGACCAGTGGGAAGCCCAGGCGAGACTTCCTTGTCTGGGGGCGCAGTCTTTCAGTTTTGCACTCTAACTAAAAGCACCGATTTCTTTTTGCGGAGCAGAACTTCCAAAAAATTACGTTGTGCTGAAGCAGAGGTGCTGCTCAGACATTCAGCAGTGACCCACTAAACGGCACCAGAGCATAAACACATACCAATTACTAGACCATAACAAAGAGCCAGCATGATTTAAGAGCCCCATTAAATCAAGATAGGGACATCTGCCTTTTGCCAATTCCAAACATGGCAAGAGACCAAAGCTTTGTATTTGTCTGGATGTTCGCAAGTCGTTTCAGAGGACAGTTGCCATCAGTCAGGCAGCGGGTTTGTTATTCTCATCCGGCGGACAGGTTCAACTTGTGATTGAATCCTGGCTTTAGTTAACAAGGGTAAACGTCGGCTTATTGTCAAATATGCACAGATGTTGCGTTTCCCATTTATTTTAGTTCATGATCATAAAAAAAACCTAACCTTTGATAAATTATGTAGCCGCAGTGGTCTGCAGTACATTTAATACTGAGAACAGAAGAGAGCTCTTTACACAAAGGGCTGTGGAGGTGTGGAACAAGCCACCCCGCCCTACTGTTGAAGCTGATGCCCTGCTCTCTCCGAGACCCGCCTGGCTGACAGCCCGCACCAGCCTCCCCCCCTCTGCGGCGTGTACTTGCCGTGCTCTCCGCAGCCCCACGCGTACACCTCCCTGCCGTGGGTGAGCGCCACCACGTGGTTGTCCCCGCAGGACACCTGCCTCACGGGCCGGGACAGGAAGAAGTCCAGCAGCACGGGCTCCAGCACCTCCGCCGCCAGCTCGTTCTCCACACCGATGCAGCCGTAGTAGTCCGAGCCGAACATGTACATCTGGTCTTCGTCTGCAACGGCCGGGAGCACGCGAGAAATGCAAAATGAAAAAAAAAAAAAAAGGAATGACCAAGATGAAAACTAAAGATGAAAGAACAAAACCTACCAAACTGACAAGGGTGAGAACAGTCGGAAAATATTTTCATCTTTACATTTACAGCTCTGGGGTCCTAAGCTCAATTCCTGGGGTGATACCTGTATGTTCTCCCTGTGGTTGTGTGGGTTTCCTCCCACAGTCTAAAGGCACACTGGTGGGTTAATTGGCTTCTGAGAAAACAGGCCCTAGTGCGAGCGTGTCTGTGTCTCTGTGATGGACTGGCGTCCTGACCAGGGTGTACCCTGCCTTGTGCCTGTTGCTTGCTGGGATAGGCTCCACCTCCCCCATGACCCTGTACTGAATAGAGTGGTCAGAAAATGGATAAATGGCAGGATTATAAAGTCTTGTGATTAAATTTTTTTTCTGTCTGCGATACCATTATTATCCTTTTCCCCACAGTGGATGGTAGTATTGGATCTGAAAAGGCTGATGGGGATACTCTGGCTGCACCGGAAAAAAACCAAACTGAACTGCAGTTAATTCCTCTAATCATGCCGCTATGATTGCGATGTAGACGAATCGCGTCCTCTGACTCACTGATATTCCCGAGGACTGCTGAGAAGCTAGCGTCACCGATTGCTTCCTGGAGAATGCAGGTGGAGAGTAACCATCCACCCATTTTCAATCACCGCTGCGTCCTCAGAGGCTGGCCGCGAGCCGGAGCCTACCGCAGTGGGCACAGGTGGCACCACCCTCTCGAAGGGACACCGGCCGAATGTTGGATGCGCGACGCGGGCTGCGCCCCGCCCCGGGAAGGGGGACACCCCCGGGGGAGGGAACCCAGTCGGGGTGCAGACGGGAGCCGCCAAGAGCCCCCACTCACCGGTGACGCAGGCGGTGAAGTCGGCCCCGCAGGCCACCTGCCGAATGGCCTTGCCCTGCAGCCTCTCCACCCTGCGGGGCTGCCGGTACGAAGCCTGGTCCCCGTGGCCCAGCTGGCCCACCATCTTCGCCCCGCCCTGCACGCTCTGCACACCAGGAGGGAAGGAAGAGCGAGGTCAGGGCTGGCACTGCGGACGGCCGACTCGGGGCCAGGATGAGCACGGCGCTCTGTAGCACGTCACCAGGATCATTCGACAGGCCTTTGCTTTAACATCTGGAGGGCACAGGTGAAAACCACTGTTCTCCCGCTGTGAGAGCAAGTACTGGCTCTGAGGGAAGCGTCTCAGGATTAACCTACAGGAATCCATGTTTATAGCTCAGAATAGGGGCTGAACATCATCCATCTGTAACTGACACTAAAGGGGAACTGCGGTCCCAGTTTCTCAGACCGCTTATTATATCTCAGACTGGCAAGACTTACAAAAACAATTCATTAACGTCATAGAAGAAATCGACATATTTCGAATTAAGCATTGTAAGAATTGTGAACGTTGTGAAAGTACCGAGTCGCCATGTTGTCACAAACTCGCGTTTCAACCGTATGCAGTCCTTCCTGCTCACTAGTCCCCATAACGACTAACGTGCTGTGATGTACGAATGAATAAATACAGGTTGTGCAGCAGATGTTTCTCCATAGAAATGTTCCAACGTGATCTGCATGCAGAGTTAGCAGGTATGTAGTATTTGTCCGCAAAACCATCTCAAAACTGAAACCAGTATTTCTATTGGATTAAAAGAGATGTATTCACAAGCCTGCTTGTTTACAATGTAATAGGGCTGCTTCACCTCACCAGAAGTTTTGTTGCCTTGTTCTGAATCCCAGAACATGGTGCTGTGCATACCTGGAAACTTAATCTATTTTGTAAATTACACATAACTGTGTAGATTTTCCTTTTAAATCTGTGTAGATTTTACTTTTGCAGTTTGAAATGCACTCATCAAAGCCGATTCTTTCTAACCCTGAAATATAAAAATGGCGTCGCAGTTCCCCTTTAATGTTTGAAGGGCGCTTGTGAAAGCCTCTCAGGATTAACTTACGTGAATTCATGTTTACAGCTCAAAATAGGAACTGAACACCATCCGGCTGTAAACGACATGAACACTGCTCCGACTCTTGGGACGATCTGCATTTTGAATGTCTCACAGCCACAGACACCCCACCAACATGGCTGCCTGCACCTGTGCTCTGCCTTTATCCCAGAGCGAATAAGGGAGGCGCCGGTACTCACGGCCCAAGTGTACAGCTCCTTCTCCACAGTGACCACAGCGAAGTGATTCTCCCCAGCGCACACGTGCTGGGCGCTGCTGCCTCCCTTGAAGGCGTCCAGCTTCTGGGGAGTAAACTTCCCGCCACCCCAGAAATAGACCTCTCTGGACCGAGTGGTCACCACGGCGACGGAGCTCTCCGTCGCTGTGCTCAACCTGGCGGCAAGTTAAGCCACATGAGCCTTTTCTCCTTTGGTCAACATGATGATAAACATTTTTTTTTTACAGTTGATACTTTGGCTGGTAGAATGTACTGGGTTTATTTTGGACATTTAAAGGCTCTGTAAGGAAACAAGTGCCAGAAGTCACCTGCCATGCCTTAGGAGTTTCCTGGAATGACTATAAATGAACATGCAAATAACTCACTTGGGTTTTTTGTTGGCCAAATTGAGCAGTGCAACCTTCTCTTCCAGTTGTCTGAAACAGAAATGCAATGTTTTAAACTTCATAAATAAATATCAGCACCTCAGGAACGTCTTGTACTGCACTGACTGCCACAACTTTCATGGAAAAATAAACACGTTGTGGAGCTGTGGCCGATTACTGCTGGTCTCGTCTTTGACAAAACGTGACCTGGCTGGCGTGGGTGTTGTGAGACCCTTCTCCCCGCCCACTCAGCTGTCTGCTCCAGCAGCAGCAGACCCAGGGAGGCCACACTCACTGCCGCTTGCAGGAAATGATGGGCTGCTCCAGGATCTGATCTGCAGTGGGCCTCTTCTCTGGGTCCTGGAAGACAGAAAAACAAACGACAACTGGGGTCAAAGTTTGCACCTCCATGCTGTGTGGCTCCGCCTACGAGCACAAGCCATCAGTCGGGGAATCTGCACGTGCACTTTAATTTTGTTTTAACACGACATCGAGAGCAGATTACTTCATTTGGCCCAAGTCTGATACCCAGCTGTTTCCCCACAGGAGCAGGTCATTCAGCAGACCCTCTTTCCATGTGAATAAAAAGATAAGGCGGGGTCTAGTATGCAAATTAGCCATGTGCCACACCTTGCTTGAGATAAACAGTGGAAGTCCGGTGTAATAAATCTGTGATTTGTAACACAATTGTGCCTGGTTGTTTAAAAATGTGTCTCACTACACATGCGCTGCTTGTGTGGCATAAATTGTTTTAACTGAACCATAACCCATTCACTCCATGACGTTTTGAATGAAAGAAGGAACGAAAACATACATTCATTCCCAAAGGAATGAAATGCAACTTCCAAAAACCTGAAACCCAGCCGACACAAGTCAGATCCTCCCACACAAGCTCCTGAGGCACCTATAGTGCAAAACAGGTGTGGATTTTCCATGTCATGTCATGCAGGTGGGAATGATATTTTACTCGTCCATTTCTGTGGCTTTTTTTCCCCAGCCACAGATCTGAACAATTTCCCCCAGATCGAACCCACGCCTCTCCAGTTCGTAGAAACACTCCCGGAGTTCTTCACAGATCCAAACCAGGACTTGCTTTGATGTGCAAAGCACGTCTTCGCAACAGCTGACTGGCAGGTGCAAGGCTAGTTTTACACCCAAATTTTAGTGCAGCTGCTACCCCAGAAATCTCAAAATGGGGTGCTGCAGGGTTCTGCCCAGAGCCAGCCTTCTCCAACAGTCCCTGAGCGTTCTGGCCTTCCTATACCCACCTGATCCAGGCACTCGTACACCAGCTTGATGAGCTCCGAGGAGTACACGTCAGAATTCACCTCCATGGTCCAGTTGCCCTGAACGATCTTCACACACAGGTTCAGCGGGTTCTGAACAGTGGCGATAAGAGACATTTACATTTCCTATAATCAAGTCACTCCTGGTTTCACAACTTTGTGGACGCAGTCACTGAAGTATTGAGACGCCGAGGTAATTATGAAAAGGGCACTACAGCCGTGCCAATTATTAAGGGGTAGTGAAAGATACAGCGGATCGATGGTATACACCGGGGATCGCTGGCCCTGGTCCCGAGGAGCCCCAGTCTAGTTATTCTTACAGGTCACTCTAAGTCATTTGCTATTTAAAGACAAGGTAAACTCGTTTCAGCAACTGATCAATTAAACAAGTAATGGCTCAATGAAGGGAACAGTGCTCCTCGAGAGCTGAAGGATATTCTGAGCTTTGTAGCAAATGACGTCTGAATTACTTCACTGAACACCCCACTGATCATTATCCGGTCATAGCTAAACTGTTCCAGTGCTTTAGAAATTGCCACCTTTAAGTCTACCGATAGAAGCCGCTGGACCGGGGGCTCTGCAGGACCAGGGAGAGAGACCCCCTGCCGCGCACGGGGGGGATTCAAGTTTAAAGGGTAGTACCGTAGCATCGAACGTCCGGGTCAGTGTGAGAACCTCAAAGATGACGCAGCCCATTGCCCAGATGTCCGATTTGAAGTTATACTTCACCCCCTGGCACAGCTCTGGAGACATGTAATATGGCGTTCCCACACACTGCAGCGAGAGGGAGAACTGTCAAACGTCAGCGTGTCCAATAAAAAAGTCACTGCACATATTTAAACAAGGAAAGCCATAGACTTTCTTATAACGGGCAATACCATTTTCTCTATGAGCACACGTACAGTATATAGTAAACTTTCTACACTGGGAAGTAAAAAGAATCAGATCTTAGTCGTATTATTTATTATTATTATTATTATTATTATTTGATTGTCTTTGATCCTACTAGCCCTTAATCATATAATTTAATATTTTACATGGGAAAGACCAGCAACCATTTTCTCCCGCAGGTCATAGTCAAGATGAGGCTGGTATGAAATACTGCCATTAACCAGGCGAAAAGAGGAAAGGTTATGTTGTTAATGCCTTACGCTTTCTTACTCCTGCACAATAAATGAATATACACGCAGAAGAGTTCTCGTATTTTGCTTAGCCCTTTGTAACCCACACAAAGCTGCCGTTGCAGTTTTTTTAATTCTGGTTTTACAGCCAGAAAGCCATAAGCAGTGCGTGCCGAGTGCCGAGCGCCGAGCTGGAGAGGGAAAGAGGAGATGGACTTTGTAGACACACGTCGCAATTCAGGCCGTGAGATACAAAGCCTGGGTGGCTAAAAATAGCTGCAGGAGAAATGAGGGCTTCGCCTCCAGCTGTTGCCCTGGACCCACAGGACACAGGAATAGAACATGAAGTGGTCAAGGACAATGGATAATGAGGCCTCTACAGCCCCCCCCTCATTACTGCACTGCACCTTCAGAGGAATGGCTTTTGTCAGGCACAAGCCAAGCGGCTACAGTACGTCACAACAAAATCCCTCGTCAACTGCTGAGCTGCTCGGGCAAACACAACACCGAGCGAATAGGTCACTCTGACCGGAACGAAACGCACTCAAGGAGCCAACAGCAGCTCGAATTTGACAGGCATTTGTAGAATGCAGCAACACAAACACTAGAAAGGTTGAGCGCGGATTTGAGTTTACAGAACAATATGACAGACTTAGCTTTATATAAACAGAGATGCTGCACGTAAAGGTACAAATATACACATGCACAATACACAAATATATACTCACAGTCTCAGCCATGGAATACTGAGAGTCCAACTTTTTGGCCAGCCCATAGTCTCCTAACTTAATCAGGTTTGTTTTGGTGAGGAAAATATTCAGGGTTTTTATATCCCTTTGAAAGAGAAGACAATAGCATTGAAAAAATGACATGAAGTTGAGGTGTTTTTTCTTTTTCTTAGCAAAATCAGCTTCAGGAAACTGAGGACGTTCTGATTAATGGACTACTGAATTCCACAGAAAGTAATTAATGGTCTACTGAAGTCAATAGAAATTCATGATTAATGGACTACTCAAAGCACTTGTTGAATTACCTGTGAAGAATTCCTGCTTTGTGAATATGGGCTACAGCTGAAGCTATCTGGTACAGGTACCATATCACAATCTGTAAACGTGAACAAAATTGATCAGATTTTAGCAAAAAGACAACACAGTTAAAGGAGACAGGACAAAAAGCTATACTGTGTAAGGGTGAAAGTTTTCATCCTGTTACCGAATTTCTTTGTGAAGGGCTACAGCATTATGACAGATGCAACATTGTATTACTGCATTTTAGAATGCTGCATTTTTCTAAAAAGACTTAGAAATAAAACCAGCTCTGTTTTACCTCTTCTGAAAAGAGTTGTCCTTTCTGTTGGTTTATTTTGTCATACAGGTTCCCACCTGGGGAAAAAAAAACAAACGTCAAGATTTTACAGTGACAGCAGTTCACCATCAAGACCCACACATGAAACATCGCTCGCTGCGGTAACTAACTTCCCCTTCCAGAATGATATCCCGTGCGGAAATGCAATAAAGTCAATATGCATCCGCAGAGAACGATTTCTGCATCACAATTAATGAGGTAATTAAAGATGATGGGAAGTCACATCAAGGAACAGCAACAAGCCATTTTTCATCTGTCTCAGGGCATCCTAACAGACTCACCATTGCAGTACTCCAACTCAATCAACAAGGTATCCTTGTCCAGGAAGTGGTTGTAATAAGCTATTATATTGTTGTGCTGCAGAATGGACAGGATATTGATCTCGTTCATGACATCACGGCGTTCCTTGTCCGAGAGGCAATTCAAATCCACTTCCTTCCACACCACGAGAGAGTTGTCCTGGAAAAGAGAAAACAAGCCAGCATTTTCTTTTTTGCTTCCAACACATGGCCTGGTTTGCTAAACAGTACTTCGTTTTTTTAATTATTTAATTGTATTGTGACAGCGCACACCTAAAAAATAACAAGGACGTGCTCTACACAGAAGGTTAAGAATGCTTTGCAAAGCAGCACGTTTCCTCTCTAGTCGATATAACCTCACACCCGGATCCTGGAGAGAGAGAGGCGTCTATTTTATGTCTTAATTCAGCTGTCACTTCATCTTAAAAAAGGAAACACCTAAGCCAGAGTTGACAAGTTCAAAAGGCAGTGTTTTAAAACAACAACAACAGGACCTGGTTGGACAAGCAGACTGATTATTCTGCTTCTCGAACCCAAATACTGTATATTGACACCCAGAAACGCGCTGGGACATCTTGTGACATCAGTGCATACGTCTATTTTAGTCCACATGTCAAATATAAAACAGGTCAACCAAATCTGAGCACCACTCCGGATCTACAGCCTGAAGTTCATTTTGAGGGAGGTCCCCACAGTACGAATTAAAAAACCTAACACCTCAAAGCGTCAGCGAGTTCGGATTCATCGGGGATGTGACTTAATGGCCTTTGATCCGAACCTGCCGAAGGCAATGCGGTTTGTTTTTTTTTCCCCAATGACTTGCCTCGGTTCTTCTATATAAAGTCGCTTCTCCGAAGGCTCCCCTTCCGAGTATTCGGATAGGGATGTAGTGCAGCTTCTCCTCCTCGGCGCTGCAACCCCCGGCCGCAGACCTGCCCTCGCTGCCGCCCAGCTCGCTACCGAAGTCCGAGTTCAGGGAGCTGTAGCGCCTCTCGTAGTCTTCCAACGACATCGCGTCTCCCACCCCCGCAAGGCCAAAACTAAAATCAATCCTCCTTTAGGAACTTCCCAGGTAGCCGACGGGGACCCAGGCAGCTTAGAACAGAAGAAAATGAAACAATCAGGATGGTGCTCAGTGACGTTTTTAAGCTCGTTTTAGGGGGAAAAAAATAAAGACCATCCCCCCCATCTATCTTTTTTAGCCCCCAAAACGCCAATGAGACCTGCATATGGTAATTACGCCTCAGGTGTGATTATTCTTGTTGTGGAAACGTTTTTACAGAGTTGCAGTGAAAAACAAAAAGTTTTCTAGCAAGTCCCAGGAGGAGGGAGATCTGTGCCGCCTGGCCAACGGGAAACTAGCACCCAGACGCAACATCGTCCTCGGCGTCCCCCTTCACTCGCGAGGTGCTGTCTCTGTGCTCTCTCGTTTCCACTTCGCCGAGGTGTTGGAGAGCGGCTGCATGCCCCAGCAGAGCTGGGATATCTCCATTCACGTCCCAGACTGCGCCGCCCGCTCCCGTACCCTACCCCCAGCCCGGGTCTAAATCCTCGTCGCTCCGCCATGTCGCGTCCCCAGCCGCACTTTCAGCTGACGTCTTACCAGGTCTGTTGACACTTCTGGAGCTCAGGCTGCCGCTGCTAACTTTTTTCACGGCCACCTCGCTCCCCGCGGAGACTCCATCTTACCCTGGCCGAGTTCAAGACCCGGAAACACTAGCTTGCATTACTGCAGCGCACGGAGTGTCACCCCGGTACGGCACGGATTGTGCTGCTTTTTGCACAGATTCAGAGCCTTGTACCTCGCAGAGCCCCACCGCTGAAGCAGACTTCTTTGCACAAACCGCCGCGGCTTCGTTTTATTTTGAATGCAAAGTTGCACTTCTTTTTATTAGTAACTGCTACGACGACCCGTCATGTCGCTCTTAAGTTGTTCTGACGCTCAAAACAGTCCAGGAAAGAGGTGAATGACAGACGTAAAAACTGAAACTTTGTTTTGCAGTTTCGCCAAATACAGTAGAAAGTATTCAGGTGCGAGACAGAACGTAGAGAACTCCTGAACATTTAATGCATCTTCATTTTAATTAGTGTTTAGTATTAGAAAAAAGTTTTAAAAATAATGAAACTATAATTCTTCGTAATCAAATCCCCGTAGCTATGCTCAAAGATCGCCCCCTTCTGCATTCCTGTATAATTACAATTTTTATTCGGTTGGTGTAGCACTCTTACCCTTAGGCGGCACTGCAGTTACTGATTTGGCAAATCGTTAGTGTGAAATAACATCAATAACAGTAGTAATAAAAATAAAATCCCAAGTCAAGCGTGAACACTGTCTTATTTTCAAAGCAGGAGCAAGTTCTAAATTCACGTAATCAGTTTAATTTTCTATTCTCAGACTGAGAATCCTGTCTCATCGGAGGAGTCATGCGATGCCCGGAGAATGAGCCGAGTCCTGCCCAAAGCAAGGCGCAAGCAACTACATTCATTCGTTTTAATAATTCATTAGGGAATTTTGTTTTAAAACAAAATTAATTTCACTTTTTTTCCCCACCTTTGCAAAAGACTGAGTCCCGCTATATTGCTCAGGCTGCACTGCAGCGTCTATTCACAGGCGCGATCCCACTACTGAGCGGCACGGGGGCTTTGGCCTGCTCCGTTTCCGACCTGGGCCGGTGCACCCCTCCTTAGGCGACCTGGTGGTCCCGGGCTCCCCCAGGAGCACCATATCGATACCGAACTTAGTGCGGACACCCGATCGGCATAGTCCGCTGCAGCTCAGAACTCCTGAGCTCAAGCGATCCGCCAGCCTCAGCCTCCCAGTAGCTTGGATTACAGGCACGCGCCACCGTGCCCGGCGAGAGAGAGCTGCGCTTGTAGAGCTCTTCACTTGCCGCCACCCGTGACGTCACAGCGCTTTTCCAGCGCCCACGCACTGCCACCTAGCGGCGGAATCTGTCACTGCTCAAAGATTGGTCTCGTCCAGGACAGAGGAAGGCTTGACGGTTTCATGGCTTCATGACAACTTTAACATCGATTTTTATTTCACGGAACAAAAAAAAAAAAACACAGTCTGTTACAGCTTTAGGTGACTTAGAAGTGTCTCTTAGATTTGAGATAAGGTTTGTGACACTGGGATTAGTAAATACTTCTAACTTCAAAGAAGAGAGGATGTTTGCTGAGGTCTGGGAGGTCCCTTGAGCAGAAACAATGGAAGAGTTTACCTTAGTATATCCAGGGAAGTTGTGGATTTATGATTGGCTAGGAGCAGTACAGATACACACACTATAAGATCACTTTAAGAGCAGGGAGAAGAGACAGGCGCCCAGAGGAGTTGGGACTCCCAGCTTGTAACAGATGAGAGCCCCTACTTCTTGATCGTTCAAACCAAACCTGACTGGAGCTCAGTATTCGAACCTTGTTAGTGAGAGCATGCTTTTCTGTGTTTTTAGGGAACTTGGGTTTCCTGGGTAAAAGATACCTCAGAACGTCTTTCCTGATTAGGATGCATGTTTATGGATAGGGATATAGGCTCCCATTTATGTTGTGGCATCCAGGGTGCAGAGAGAGAGATTGAACTGCAGGTTGCTCTGTATTTAGTTAGAAGGCAGCTCATCTCTTGTGTGGCCTCTGTAGGCATATTAAGAGTTTAGTGCTTAGTAGCAGTCTGGGTTTTTCTGGGTGACTAGAATGTTAGGCCTCTGAAATTACTTGTCTGTAAATACTGTATATAATGTAACTTTGTGTGTTGAATGTTTTGTGTCTTGTGTAGTTTATTGTAATAAATATTTGTTTTCGCCAAGTGTGCCTGTATTATTAGTCCTCTCAGTAAAGCTGTGTCAGCTGTGCCTCTAGTTATACGAGCCGCTCCGGTATATCGTTAGAAACCACGTACAAGTTGGGGGTTACGAATAATTATTTAACTGATTGACTAAATCGCTCAGTCAATTCCTGATTTTCACCTGTTTCATAACCCTCCATTTGTAAAAATAGAATATTTTCAAAATTCTACAAGCATGACACTCAGAAAATTATTTTTCCCATTTGTAATGAAGTTAATCTATTTTGCACATTTAAGAAAATCTGGTTAGAGATTATACTAGTGAACTTAAAATATAGAACGGTCTTTTGGCAGGAAAAATAGATGCACCTCTTGTACTGTATATCTTTTATGCAGAAAAATCCATGGAACTGTTCATACTTACGCATTAACAACATAAGCAGAATTAACCTTTAGGCTCAATTATTCATAACTGTTGCTAACATGACCAAAAAAAGACCAAAAGCTTTTACAGCTTTCAAAGGCTACAGATCCTTTATTCTGGAATTTTTAAATACCATATACAACATGACAATACAGACACATATTCAATAACTCATATGCTAAACATACTTTTTTC